GAGATGAGGACATGACTGCAGCTGGCAATGAGGCCCAAACCAGCACATCCACTGCATGAAGGCTTCAGCTTTTTGATTTTACTTAACATTATTTTATTTATCTATTATACTGGAGACTTTTTTGAAGGATATTGTTTTTTTATGTTTGTTTCTATTTTCTGCAGCTTCTCCACAACATTACAGTTTTTTCACTGGCAAATCTCTTTGACTAGTGCATTTTTTGAGCCAATATTTAGTATAAGTAAAATACTTAAGTACTGTTAAAATCAGATACTCTAAGGCTTTTACTCAAGTTGTTTTGGAATTGGTGATTTGTAACGTGCAGTGGAGTAATTTTCAATGTAAGGTATCTGTACTTTTACTCAAGTATGGTTTTTAGGTACTCTTTACACCTCTGAGCCTCATATTATAACTTCCTAAAGCACAGACACGTGTGATATTTTTTCAGACTTGTCTGTAATTGCTCAGACATAAGAAGCATGAATCTTTGAACATTTAAAAAAAAAATCACTTTTAACAGCAAAAATAAATAAATAATAAAAACAGGTTTTTTTAACTTAAATGTAGTTACCAATTATTCCATGGGCCCCTCTCCATCACAGGGTGAGTAAAATGGATAACCATTTTATTGTGTGACTCAAGAAATTTAATTCTTAAATGAAGTAATTATAGATCCACTGTAGACATTAAAATGATATTGTATGTGTTAGATCTCTATTTTAAATTCCTAAATTAATTTCCAGGTGGTAAATTTCGACATATTTAAGCTCTTGACTGATGTCAATCAATCAATTAATATTGTTACTGTTGTTGTTCATAGTTGGTCCACAACGGGTCGCCATATAACACGCAGTGAAGTTGTCATGACTGAGCGATGACAGGTATGATTCATTCTAGAGAATCGCTTCATTCGCGCGGCTCGCTAAAAGAATCGATTCAAAGAACTGATTTATTTGAATGAATCATTTCGTTAAACACTGCTGTTTATAACTACGTTTTCGATCAAAATAGCTCATTGGTGATATGTTAAACATAACAGTTTCTATAGTGTTTCAGAATCACTTTGCCCAAATCATGAAAAATAATTAATTCGAAACTAAGATCTGATTCGGAACATCACTATTACCGCTTACTAGTTTCAGCCAGCAACAGTATCCTGAAACTCTACACCAGAGCAATAAATATCTCTACCATATGTATTATGCATTATTAACGAGCATTTTGTGTCGTAACCTGTTGTGAGGACTACGTAGTGCGCACACTTCCTCATGCAACAGCCTCATCGTGTGGAAACACCTTCAACACATCCACACACGCCAGAGGAAGAGAGAGAGGGAGAAAGGGGGCGGCGAATCGTTTGCCTCCCGCATATTTTCTGTCTTTACGTCCTCTTCTCTCTCTGAATCTCTAGTTTTCCTCCTAACATGGCTGCGCTCTCAGCCTGGTTCTGGAACGAGCGCTTCTGGCTTCCGCACAATGTCACTTGGGCGGATCTGGCCGACCCAGCGCCCGGAGTGGAGTACCCTAAAGCCGGCCACTTGCTCTCCGCGCTGCCGCTGGCCTTGGGGATCTTCGCGGTGCGGATCGTCTTCGAGAGGTATGATTTGCGTTTGACTGGACGCCTTTTTACGCGTCTGGCATTCATTTGGCCAACCAGAACTTTGTGTAGACTCAGCTGATGTATAAATATCAATCTTTTAAACTCACATCACATGCTTTCCCGTGTCTTAATATTGAAAGTTTAGGCTATGCATGCACGTGTCTGAACGTTTAAAAGAAGCTGTTCTGAAGTCCATTTGGGCTGGATGAACTTGAAAGGAATTTCAAGCATTCAGGTTATGATCTTTCAGCCTGAGGCATCTGTCAGCTGACCAGCTTAAGGCCTAGACTCAGAAAAGAGGATTGCATTTATTTTTCTGTGCTTAAAAGTCTTTTTATGTGTCTTTTTTTCACCCCTACCTTTACAACCGCACTCTCATTTAAAAAAAAGCATGCTTTTTAGTCAAACATCCTTTGTTGAGCAGAAATGCAGGAACATGTGTGATGATATAGAGTTACCTAATGTTGATTTTGACACTATAATATCTGGAAATAGTGTCAGAAATGAACACCACACCTTTAGAAGAGCCTGGGATGCATGTAATGTGTAAACATGTGCTGTGTCATGTCTCAACTATGCTTTGAATTCAAGAGAGCTTGAGTGGTAACTTGTGTGTCAGTGTGGGAAAGCTTGGTTTTAAAGGTATAGCGCACTCAAAAATGAACTACTGTTTTCTGTCATCGTTTACTCACCCTAGTGCTGCACGATTAATCAAATGCGATTGTAATGCGCATTTTGATAGTAATGCCGGTTCTGTAATCAGCAGGAAATCATCATCACGTGCTTTCAGATGGAGCAGAATTTACTACACATAGCCGTAGTTCACTGACAAGTTACGGGAAAAAATCGCAGACGATTTTATTGCGCGATTACGAAATCGAAGAAATCGTTTGCGATAATGACAGCTGTTTGCATAGCTGCTCTGTGAAGTAAATGCTGCTCCATCTGAAAGCATGTGAAAATACCACATTTAATAACACATTTTTACTCCAAACTCACTTCATAACGTCAGTCGAGTGTTTGAAATAAATCCTTCTGTGAGATGATGTGGCTTCTTACACAGAATAAGGCACGCAACATATTTCATAGTATTTAAGCAGTGATAAAGGCATAGCATTATAAATATACTTTATTTTAATGAAAATTATAATAATAAGAACTCAGATAAACCGTATATTGCCGTAGTCGTGTGTTTATTAGTCACGTTGAATCAATGAAAGCAGTTGAATCTTCTGTTTATTCAGCTGCAGCAGATTTTCTGGGTTTCTTCTGCGAGGTGTATTTGGAGTTTCAGCGCGAGAGCGCCCTCTGGCCTTCGGATGGAGATTTACTGCTGATCACAGAACCGTGCTTCACTGAAAGATACGCATGACAATCGCAGCTTCTGGCGAATCGCGATCTCGATTCCATTTCGATTGATCGTGCAGCCCTAACTCACCCTCACCTTTTTATGTTTTTTGAAGACTTTTTTTATGTGGAACACGACAGGAGATGTTTGGTACAATGTTCAGGCTGCACTTTTCAATACAATGAAAGTGAATGGGGACCAGTTCTGTCAAGGTCTGAAAAAATACTAAAGTGACTTGATTGCGAAGTGAAAACTGATTTAATGTTCTGTATGTTCTTCAAACGGGTCATGACATGGATTTTTTTATTTTTATTATTTGAATAAGTTCCTTGAGGTTTAGCCTACTCATAATGTTAATAAAGTTTTTTTCCGCACACACAAAACAAATCAATATGTGGGAAAATGATTATTTTCAACCCTCATTCTGAACCTCTCTCTAAAACGACCTGTTTTAGGGGGCGGGTCCATTCAGGCTTCTCAGTAATCCATTACTGTTATGATTAGCTAACGTCATTGCATAGGAAACAGTATCAACACCCCCTAACTATTGCATGTGAGTGTTTTGACAACATAATCAAAATAAAACGGTCATTTCCAGACAAAGCATTATTAAATAATTTACTTATGGTTTGTGATGCAGCTGCTGTCAGATCTAGTACTGCTTCATCTTTCATCAAATGTTTCTTTGTGAACTCTCTGTGACACTGTGCCTTGTTTACAAAGCAAAATACTCCAAATAATCCTCTGACACGATTCGGGGTGCCATTAAAAAATAAACTATCCACTTGTTCCTTATGCTGGGATCCTTCTGATATCTGTACAAAGACGCGAACAAGCTGTTTAAACCAAACGCGTCAAAGCAAACGTTCTTTCACTCCATTTGTCCGATTGACGACTGACACGAGCGTGTGGACTGTGTCAGAAAGCGAACGTGCACCTGTATACTGTATCCAGTGTAGACAAGGTAGCAGCAGTGATAATTTCTATTTTCTTTTGACACAATGTGACACTCACATTTAGCATGATCAAGTGTCAGCCGTTAGCGACTGAACGCCAGTGGGCGGGGCCTATGGTGATGTGTTGCTCAGTAGGCGGAGTTTATGCAAATGACTGTGCCCAGGTGATGTCACCTTGCCCTTCGGATCCAAAAGGAGGATCCGATTTTTGGAGCTTGATAAAATAAATGCTTTGTTCATAAAGAGGAAGACGTTTTAAGCTATGAAACTTGCAGGATGTTTTTATGATACAAAGACCAAATTTGTATCAAAGGCAAATTTGATTTCTCATGTCATGACCCCTTTAAACTGTAATATTAAATGACTTAAAATATGCTTTATGGTTTTATGGACGTCTTTTACCAGTTTGGGTGCAAGTAAATGATGCAAAAATCGTAATTTTGGGGCGAATTATTCCGTTAATATGCACGCTTCAAATTTTCACACAGACTAAACACTTAAAAAAGGCAAATTACTATGCAAGCTGCTGTCTGTTACAACACGATTCTGCTCTATCTGCTGTTGGCTTTCTGCAGGAAGAGCATTCAACGTCTTTAACTAATATTTTAGATTTAGGACTAATAATAGATCGCAGAAACATTCCAGAGCGTTCTCAGCTGAATGTTCGGTGGGTGGGATCTCGTTTGACATCTAAAACCCAGTGTTCATGAGAAAAAGTGGGTCCATTATGGTTACAAGCAGAACTGTGTTGATTTGATATCTAGCATACTACTGAATAAAGGCTATATTCATGTATAATGGTGTTTGAATAAAACTCCAAGGTATTACATCCAAAACAACATTTATTTGTTAGTTTGGCTGCTTTATGGTTCATATGATGTGGAGTATTATAAATATCTTGAGGAACCTGTTAGGAGAAACAACTTCTTCTTACTGATCAAGTTGAGGTAAACGAATTTGTGGTTTTGAGTCTGGTTGCACCAGTTCTGTTGAAACGGTTTAAAATTTACGTTTGACTAGTTTTACTTACGTGGTTTGCAGCACATCGCTAAAAATAGCAAGTGAAACCAGTCCACAGGACTAGCTCAGACACATGGCATCACCAAATGTGTTGGGTTTCTTCTTAAAAGTGTGAAACACTGAAAAAACTGTGTACTTAAAATGTCAGAAGATGAGATTGAGGTGTATAAAGTAAATTCTTTACTTTACACATTTGAGTCCAGGGCCCGTATTTATCAAGCTTCTCAAAGTGCCATTTTAGTCTTAAGTGCTGAGAATTCATTAAATTTACACCTACTTTCAAACTTAAGTATAAAAGCAAGTTATCAAATTTCTTAAAGCTAAGAATCACTCTTAAGGCTTGTTCATACCGGGACGAATATCGCGCGCGATTATCGCCGACGTTTAAAGCCTCGTGACTAAACAAAGGGCGCCAATGTGAGTGTGCACACCGACGCGCAAACGCGACAGCGACTACAAAAATCGCGATAAGATGGAGTTGTTATGGAGAGGAATTGCAGATCAAATAGGATTCGATGTTTACCGGGGTATTTCTGTTTTTCATTAAGCGCAATCTAATGTCAGGGAGTGAATTGGCATGTTCACTTGGCTTATCGCCAGCGAAAATCGCTTGGGTATGAACACAAAAGATGTATCGAAAAACGTCGGCGATAAGCGCGCGCGATAATCATCCCGGTTAGTGTTGTCACGGTACCAAAATTTCAGTATTCGGTACCAATACCAGAGAAAATCCACAGTTCTCGGTACCAATTTCGGTACCAAAGCAAAACACAAAAACATGCTAATTAAAAAATGTGCTACTTTCATTTAATCCAAACTGTGTACATATTTAATTTTAAAGTGCTTTTGAAAACCTAGAGCTATTCAGCCAAGAATAACAACTAAGTTAGCTAAAAAATAAAAATTAAATAGTTAATAAAGAAACTTCATTCTAATGCTCATTATATTAGTGTTAGCGCACTTATGCTAACAATTAACTACTCTAATAATAGCATTATTTTGATATTTTGGCGGGCTGGCACAAATAAATCAATGTATGGGAAACACAAATATTAAAAATTAAAATGAAACTTTACGTTACCTGCTTTCTTTAAAATGTTTTGTTAGTTTGTTTTCCTCATTTTGAGGTCGTCATGTCTCAGTGCTTTTATGAAGAGAGCGCATCTGCGCACCTTTCGGATAGCGCATCAAGAACCGGGTTGACCGGGTACACGGTACCACCGGTACTTAAAAAAACCTGGTACCGTAACGTTTTCATTTTTTTTAGTACCGACTTGGTACCGAAGTACCGGGTCTTTTGACAACACTAGTCCCGGTGTGTACGAGGCTTTACTCTCGCAGTTATATTAAGCTCGAGAGGTCTCTCAGGTGGTTAGGAGTTGCCAGTAGGGGTTTGTGATGGCGCTGAGGAGACAGAGACATGCGCAAATCTTTCAGGAGAGGAAGAATGTTCTTGAAATGTTTGACGACAAGCAGTTAATCAAACAGTTACATTTCCTCAGTTATTCAAACAGAAAACGAGCAAAGAATATTTACATTACCAAAGAACATCATAACTGACTTCAGTCTAGCGTATTATATGCTCTTTAAAAACACTCCCGTTATAATCAAGCATTTGTTGGCGATTTCGCAAAACCTGTTGGCGAGTGAAAAATCGGGCTAAAATCGTGCAG